TAATTGACATTTTTTAATATTGAGTGGCCTAATTGACCTTTAAGGTAAAGTTTAGGGGCCTATTTGACCCTTTTCTCTAATTATTTATTGTACTCTCACCTTTCTGTCTTTCTTATCTTTTTGTTTTTTCTTCTTTCGAATGACCCATTAATAAATCTCAAATACTATATAAGATGTGGATGGTAGACCACATTGACTTTGACATTTCTTCGAGTTCTGGACTTATATGATGAAAATATTACTTCCACCTCACATTTTATCTGTCCTACTCATTATTCATGGGTTAAACCAACTCTTTCTCATTTGTTTATTTTTTTTAATATTTTTTACTTATTTTAAATTTTGATTTTTTGGGTTTAATAATTCTTTTAATATAATTTTTAAATATATAAATTTTGTATACTAATCCTGCACTTAATATTATGAAAAATTAAATTAAAAATAATTATAGTCAAACCTCGTTAACGACCAGACACATAAAATGAAATGGAGGGAGTATATTTTTAGTTGTCACATCATGGAGTAAAGTAATAGAGTAGAATTTGTGAATATATATAGTAGAATTCAGAAAAATATGGGTAAGCCTCATTTCAGACAACCTTATATATATTTTTTTTTTCTATAAAGCGGGTCAAGTCTAAATAAAAATGTATTAATAATTGTGATAGAAAGTATAATACTAATTAATGATAAATTGATTATTTAAAATCAAAATGTAATATTTAAAGTTTGAAAGAGTATATATTTAGGTTTTAATCTAAATGTTTCAATTGTTAATATAATCTAAATGTTTCAAGTCCGGAGAGGTTCACCTTATATACAGAACTAAAGAAAAAATAATAATAAAAAAGGGGGAAATAACAGAAGCAACAAAATATCAACTAGTCTAAATGAAGTAGGATGATGATGCTAAGTGTTATTCATCTGTATCTCCTAAAAGTCGGTGTGTATCTTGAATTAGAGTTAATAAACGAGTTTTTTGCACTTTTAGCCTCACGACTATAGTGGCACTGGCAGAATTGATTCACGACTTTTGAACCTTGCAATTTTAGTCCACGACTATTGATTTTTTTGCAAAAATGGTCCTTTCGGCCACTTTTCCGTCAAAATTTCACCGGAAAAAAATCTCTATTTTTAGCCGGGTTAAAATTAACATTTTACTTATTTAAAAAAATTAAAAGAAAAAAATTGATATTTGACTACATACAATATTACTGGGCTACATACTACTGCTCCAGGCGACGGAGTACATGTACCGCTCCAATGCTGCTGCCGGATAACCCAACTAGCCCGGGGAACGCCACGGCTGCTCCGCTGCTTACTGACAGCCCTGCCTGCTCCAGGAACTCCGCCGCATGGGATAGTAGTATGTAGCCCAGTAATATTGTATGTAGTCAAATATCAATTTTTTTCTTTTAATTTTTTGAGATAAGTAAAATGTCAATTTTAACCCGGCTAAAAATTGAGAATTTTTTTTTTCCGGTGAAATTTTGACGGAAAAGTGGCCGGAAGGACCATTTTTGCAAAAAAAATCAATAGTAGTGGACTAAAATTGCAAGGTTCAAAAGTCGTGGATCAATTCTGCCAGTGCCACTATAGTCGTGGGACTGAAAGTGCAAAAAACTCGTTAATAAACAATATGGTCACTCGACTATGTCGTAATTATTAAGTTGAGTTTTTTGCACTTTTGGTCCCACGACTATAGTGGCACTAGCAGAATTGATCCACGACATTTGAACCTTGCAATTTTAGTCCACGACTATTGATATTTTTGCAAAAATGGTCCTTCCGGCCACTTTTCCGTCAAAATTCCACCGGAATTTTTTTTAATCCATTTTTAACAGGGTTAAAATTGACATTTTACTTATCTCAAAATATAAAGGAAATACATAAAACGGAAAGGTAAAAGCGATTGCATTTGAGAATCCCTGCCGCTTTTCTCGCCGGAAATCTATACAACGAAGCTTTTCCGATGTCTTCGGATGATCCCACAGGCGTGCTGGCTCCGCCACCAATGCTGCTGCCGGATAACCCAACTAGCCCGGGGAAAGCCACAGCCGCTCCGCCGCTTACTGACAGTCTTACCTGCTCTAGGAACTCCGCCGCCTGAGGCAGTAGTATGTAGCCCAGTAATATTGTATGTAGTCAAATGTCAATTTTTTCTTTTATTTTTGAGATAAATAAAATGTCAATTTTAGGCCTGTTAAAAATGGAAAAAAAATTCCGGTGGAATTTTGACGGAAAAGTGACTGGAAGGACCATTTTTGCAAAAAAATCAATAGTCGTGGACTAAAATTGCAAGGTTCAAAAATCGTAGATCAATTCTGCTAGTGCCACTATAGTCGTGGGACCAAAAATGCAAAAAACTCTTATTAAGTTGGTCATCGACTATCATTTTTACCAAATTAAATCCTTAATTATACAATTTTTACCTAATTTAGTTATCTGTTAATTTGACTATTTGTTGACTGTCAAAAGTGAGGATAAATTTATAATTCTACAAGATTTCTCCTTCCTCCCCATTTATTGTCAAGCCCTCCATCGGCTTCCGAGTTCCGACAGTCAAGAATCTAACAAACATTTATTTTTGTTATTTATGGTGATTTACGTGTTTGTGGTGTGAACTCCCTGCCCGGCTTCAAATTCTTGATGAGGGTTTGCAAATTCTACGTTCATTCATGAGGCACTTGCTCCACAAAATATTCATGTTTTGAGCTACTCTGATTGCCATTTCAATTCGTTTCTTCAAATTGCTATTGAGCTTCGAAAGCCGGAGCTCTTTGGCTTGAATCTGTATTTCAATTTCACCCTGCTTCCCAATCTCATATGCATTCCTGTGTTTGGGATGTCTGTTGCTTCGTGCATTGAGAACAAAAATTTGACAAAGAGAATGTGTTTATGTAGGCGATTGGGAATGGTTTCTTGGATTCAAATTCTAAGGCGTACGTTGTGTGTTAGGGAATGAGCTGATGCAGCCATGTTGGCATTGAACCTCTTGCCAACAACAATTTCCTAGTGCTGTGAACTCCCTAGTGATGTTAGGCCTACCATACCTACCTGAAGAAGCATAGCCCTTGTCTGCATAATGCACTAGATTCGAAGAATAACATTTAATGTCCTAGGAGTTGGCCGGAGAGGTTGTTGGTGTAGACAAACACGTAAAGCACCATAAATAACAAAAATAAATGTTTGTTAGATTCTTGACAATCGGAACTCGGAAGCCGATCGGCGCTAAATGGGGAGAAATAGAAGGAGAAATCTTGTAGAATTATAATTTTATCACCACTTTGACAGTCAACAAACAGTCAAATTAACAAAGGATTAAATTGGGTAAAAATTACATAGTTGAGGATTTAATTGGGTAAGAATGATAGTCGATGACTAAATTGATAATTAGGGTATAGTCGAGGGACCATTTTGGTTATTAGCTCCTTGAATTATTAGCTTTTCTTTCGATCTTTTGAACTTTAAGGTTTTTCTTTAGTATCTTTAGCTATCTTTTTGTATGTTTGTGCAAACAACCTAGCATGATAGTAAGGTTTACTTTTTTAGATCAAGATCGAGGGGAGAACCTTAGGACCCTCATTACAGGTTCCTCTCACTAAGGCTCCTTGACCAAGTCCAGCCAAGTCTATCATCTTCAAGCAGATCCTTCACAAACATCGGGGGTTTTTGAGGTCCTTAATAGTTCTCGTAGTCCTTTTCGCCTTCTTCGCAATGCAATCCGCTACCATATTTTTTTCTCGCATAATATGAATCACTTTACTATCCCAAGCTTTCACCAGCTACCCTCTACAGTCTTCGACAAGCCGACATAGCTGGCCTCTAGGCGTGGAGTGGCTATTGATCTAGTGGGTAGCTTCCTCCGAATCGCATTGAATAATCATCCTTTTCACCTCTTTGCTCCATGCCTAGTGGAGACCGCTGAGGATAACCTTGATTTCTGCTTCGGTAGCGTGGTTAGCATGAGTTGAGAGCATAAAACCACCAACCCAGTCTCCCTTACGATCACGTAGCCCCTCCCCTAGGGATGGCACTTCTACACGCACCCAATGGGTTCCCCGCATCCTCGTCCCTACGGATTTTAAAGTAATTGGTGCGGGTATGGGGAGAATTGTGTATACCCGCGCGGGTATGGGGGCAGGTGTAGGGGGAGGTATCCCCGCCCTGTGATAAAGCTTAATGTTAGTGTTGGTTGGTTACTATTATTTAGTTTCTTATTTGAACTATTCTCTGTGGTTGTTACTGTAACTATAGGGTTACCTTTCATCTCTGTATAATTCTTTGTATAAAAGCCTATGCATGACATCAATAAGATATTGAGTTTCCTTCCCTAAATACTTTACATGGTATCAAGAGCCACTCATACTCAAATGAGAACTTATTTTTTTTTTTCTCAGCCTTCTTGATATGTCAATCACAGCCCAGACAACTGTTATCTAGCTAAATGCGCCTACGAACTTCCCTATTAAACTAACACCCTCCAATTTTCCTGTATGGAGAAGACAGATTCAATCGTATCTCATTGGATTAGACCTTGTCGGATACATTGATGGTACCATACAAGCACCTGCACAGTTTACTGATGCAGCGCGAACCTCAACTCACTAGTACAGATATGCAAATCCGCTACCCTTGTAAAGGGTTATCCGCTACCCTTGTACAAGGGTAGCGGATTTGAGGGACACTGAAAGCCTTGAGTTTTCTGCTACCCTTTCACAAGGGTAGCGGAAAGTTGAATATCCGCTACCCTTCTATATATAGAAGGGTAGCGAATTTTCTTATTTTATTATTATTTTATTTAAGCATTCGCTGCGCTTTTTACAAAAGAAGGGTAGCGGATTGTTTTTTTTTTTAATTCATTATTATTTTTTATTCTTAAATGCCCCAATTTTTATAAAAATCCTATTTTCATGCACTACATATCAAGATAATACTAACCATCAACACTATTATCAGCAAACTATCAAAAACAGTATTATCAACACTCAACCAAATACTATCAATACAATACTTTATATCAATCCAATATAACATATAATCTAAAACAAAAATTACACATACTCTTCCAAAAAATATTTTGCTCATAAGTCTCGAATCCCATCTATTTCATTGGTAGAGTACGAATTTCCTTCAAATACCTACAAAATAATTTAATTAATCAAATTACTAAATATGATCCTTATTGGCCTGATTATGTCTGATTGAGGAAGTTGATCCTTACTGGCCTGCAAATGAGAAACAATGCAATTGTGATAGAATTTAGTGTTGAGTAACAAGGGGAGAAAGGCACCAAACAAGAAATATAATCTAAATTTTGAATTAAAGATCAGTTGATGAGTGATGGGGAACCAGTTCAATTCATTTGCCACCTTAAATAATTATCGATCAGTACAAGGTAGCAACACCATTTCATTTCATTTGGCATGCAAATATAAAGTCATCTTCTCCAAACTCTTCTATATATATGTGATTCATCATCATCATATTCAGACCCCTAGATTTTGATTTATAAAAAACTAATGCAAAGTGTATACATGGTATTTATACAGAGTACCAGATTTTAGTAAAAATGAATGAATTAAAACACATTATGCTCAATATGTTGAAATAGAAACAAGCACCAACCTTAGAGGAAACAGTAGGAAGCATAGAATAGCATTTCTGCAAAAAGAACTACACATTATGGTACTTACCCTTTCAAGCCGATGCAGAAGTGCAGTTTTAAATTGGCGTACACCACGTCCACTTGAGTTGATTTAAGAAGGATGCATCTGAGAGTTGATTTGTTAAAGCCAATAGCTTTCTCCTCATTAACACATGCTGTTGATTTGTTACCTGTCAAAAGTTTTTGGGTGTCAAACAGTACATTGATTACTTAATATGAAAGATGCACACTGTGCAACTCAAGAAATTAAAAAATATAGGGGGCAGATGAGCATAAAAACTGGATAAAGAATAACATAGAGATCCAATTTAGAAATAGTATGCTTGTGGCAAATCATACAAACAGCATTGAGGAATAACTCAAAGACAAATAAAGAAAGGGATTAATGAAACTGACCTTGTATGGTGATTGCTTCTTCAATCTGTATAATCTCAGATTCTATAGTGTGCAACCGTTCCAAGATCTCCGGAGTGCTCACAAAGCGATCAAATCTATTGAGCAGAAAAACCTGTTGCTGTATAATTCTGTTACGAAACACAAGTTCAGTGAGTTCATAGGATAACATTGATGCAGAAAAACTAGTATCTATATGCTACAGGAACCACAATACCGAAAGGCAACTTAAATGATGAGAGAAATAAAAACCTTGATGATCTGCAGAGTGAGAAATGCAACCCAAACAAAGCAAAGAAGTCCAAATTCGGTCCAACAAACATTTTCTATTATAGAGACCTCCTACAATGGCAAAATATATTAGAGTTGAAAAAAAAAAAACAAATGAGGCAGGATTATAACATTGCAGATAAAACACCTTATTTTCAGAAGCCTTGGTGTCATTTTGAGTTGCATTGCTGGGGCCACTAGGAAGAAGCTTGTAATCTCCTTGAGCACCACTCCCTGACAGATTACAACTTGAACGCGTTATAATCGATTTTTATTTCTTTGCTTTTATGTGTCTGTACAGGCACAGAAATGTTTGATCTTGAGGGAAAAATGAGTTGCACTGAAAATGATACATAAAGCTAGGTAAAGTACCATTTGCTGCTAAGCGTTGGGAAACCTCCTGAATCCAAAAAAAAAGGGATAATCAGAAAACAGAATGTAATAAAAGAAAGCAATGAAGACCAATTTTATTGAACATACTGAATACACCCTAATGCAACATAGATTTTACCACCTAAGCATAGCAGCATAATATGAAGCGGTAGGATCAAGAATGTGAAATCCTTGTAAATAAAGCCAGAAGTCACTTAACTTAATCTTAGACCCAATCTAGCTGGAGTCCACTATACGGGTTCTATTTATCCATTTATCGATTTTTAACAATAACTCGATCAGTCAAAATATATGTTAAGTAATGGATACATGTTAACCTTTTTCAAAATAGTTGGCAACGTAGTATTGAAATTTGTACTCTCTAATATTCTAGACTAGTACAGTGTAGACCATATGCTCTATTGCTCTGTGGCTACCTTTAGTTTCCCTAAACTTCTTGTGTTTGATACTCAACCACAACAATGAAGAAAAGTTTAAACAACACAAATTGTTGCAACACCCCACATGCTACAGATTACTTTTGACTATATCATACTTTACTCAAAATGTATGTAACCTAAACTGATCTATATCATACAACAACCATACTTTATTAACATCTCACTCTTTTCTTAATCACCACAAATCTCAAACAGGATCACCAATTATTAATTCATACATTCCTACAACCCTTTCCAGTGGCTTCTAATTCAACACTATCAAATTAGACCTCCAATCCCTCACCTTCCCATTCATGCCTCCCCAAAAAAGAGAAGATGGTAGACATTCTTCATTTTCTTTCCTAAAACAAGAAACTGTTGCTTTTCATATCTTCAAGACAATTCACAATCTAGTTTTAGCCCTCCAAATTCCCAGTCACGGAAACAGATTTAGCAAATATTTCAAACAAAATCAATGGAAAATGAGATGCCAAGCAAACTGACAAAGAAAATGGGAATTGAAACTTATATAAGCTTGCTTTCTTGGCAATTAATTGCTGCAACATCATCACATACTCAACTTTCTCAATTCATTGATGACCATTGACCACCAGAAGCAAAAACCCAGAGCCTAGAAAAGACAAGAGGTATGGAGTAGCAGATATGGTGTTCCAAAAGAAGGCATATGGAGATGGCATCTTAGTAAAGGATACGGAGTGTAGCAACTTTTACTGGAAAATATGCAGTGATATATAAAAGGATGCAGAAACCCAAAACCAAATAAAAAAATATCTGCATATGCAATTTAGTACTACCTGAGATGATGAATTGATTAAACTGAAATGATAGTGTATCTAAGTGCATGCTATTCACAATTGATATTATTGCATATATTCACAATCGAAACTTGGGTTTTTTTAATTTGTTCTGTAAATGCCATTGTTGCTGGATGTGTTAAGGGTTTTAGCCGAATAACAACAATAAACAAATTAACCAAAAAATTAACCTTACCTGATGGACGAAGCAGCGGCTGGAGCGGTGGATCGAAGCAGCGGCGGCGGATCGAAGCAGCGGCGGCGACACTGTGGTGGTGGAGACGGCGGATGAGGGCGTGGGGCGGTGACGGTGATCGAGGCCGTGTCCTCGCTGGAGATGCAGTGAGGTGATCGAGTTAGTCAAGGCCGGCCGTGAGGTGAGGGTGTGAGATTTGCAGAAGCCTTGGTTGTGAGATGTGAGCGGTGAGAGGATGGAGAACCCGTTCAATCTGTACGAGGGTTAGGTTTTTTTAATTTATTTTTTTTTTTAATATCGTTTCCGCTGACCTTTGCTACGCGAAAGGGCAGCGGGAACTCTTTCCGCCTTCTTTTTTTTTTTAAACCGCTACCCTTCTTTTAGAAAGGGTAGCGGTTTCTTATTCATTTAATTACAGTTATGCCACCGCTCCTTTTTTTTAAATAATACACTACCCTTGTTTAAAGAAGGGTAGCTTAAAGTAGAATTTCTTTGGTCTATTTTGTACTAGTGACTAATCCCTGTTATACCATTTGGTATAGGCAAGATCAAGTTATCGTTAGTGCCATTCTCGGTAGTTGCTCCGACACAATTCAACCATTGATATCCTCTACTGCAACAACCCGTGAGGCCTGGGAACGCTTGACCACTAGTTATGCTAGTTCATCTAGTTCCCGTATTGTATCCCTTAAAGCAAAATTAGCCAAAAATCCGCTAGGTGGGCGTCCTGTTATTGAGTATATGCAGGAAATGCGTTCAATTGCAGATGCACTTGCGTTAGCACAGAGCCGTATTGGAGAAGAAGATTTGGTGGTACATATCATGACACAACTAGGAGAAGAATATGATTCATTGGTGTCCGCTCTCCGTGTACGACCGGAGCCTATTTCCTTTGCTGAACTTTCTGATGTTCTAACCGATCATGAACCACAAAGAAAATGTTGAAGATAGACAGACGATGCTTGCTACTGCTAATGTCACTCAAAAACAAAACCGGAGAACTCAACCCAGTAGGTCCAACTTCAATTTAAACAAAGTTGCCGGCAACCAACAAAATGATATGAGTTCTGCTCTATTTCGCCAGTCATGGCAGCATCAGAATTCTTATCGACCTGGATGGAGAAATGTTGTTTGTCGCTTTTGCACCTTGGTCGGGCATGAAACACGAGAGTGCCAGAAGTTGATGCGTTTTTTAAGGGATAATAATGTTTCAACTGATACTCGATCCGCTCACAATCCAGTGATAAACACTACTATGACATCGACGACGACACAACAACCATGGTTGTTTGATTCTGGAGCATCCCACCATGCAACTTCCAACCCTGCAACATTGAGACAGTTTACAGAATATGGTGGCCCAGATGAAATTCGATCACCTAGGAGATGGTAAAAGTCTTGAAATAACACACACTGGACACACTATCCTACCCACATCACACTGCTCTCTCACTCTTTCTAATGTTCTTTGCGTTCCTAAACTACAGAAGAATTTAATTTCCATATCCAAGCTATGCAAAACTAATAATGTCTCTGTTGAATTTTTTTCTTCTTATTTTCTTGTGAAGGATCAGTTAATGGGGGAGCCTCTAATGATGGGGAAGAACGTACATGACGTGTATTGTGCTCCATTGAGTTGTCCTCCGCAAGTTAACACTGCAGTTAAAACAATAGTTGCTAATTGGCACAATGTCTTAGGTCATCCGTCAAATAAGGTTCTTGCCAATGTCTTGAAAAATAATAATGTTACTTTGGATTCAGTCAGTAGCTTTCACTGTCCCTCATGTTCGCTTCATAAAAGTCATAAGTTGCCATTTTCTGAAAATTCCTTGGTCAGCACTAAACCTCTGGAATTGGTCTATACTGATGTTTGGAGTTCTACACAAAGATCTGTTGAGGGTACTTTAACTATGTTATCTTTGTGGATTATTATAGAAAGTATATATGGCTATATCCACTAAAAAATAAATCTGATGTATACATTGTCTTTTCCCAGTTCAAGAAATTAGTCGAAAAATGTTTAGATCACAAAATTATCTCTATGTTCTCAGATAATGGGGGAGAGTTTCAAAAACTATTTCCATTAATCAATGCATGTGGAATATCCCATCTCACCAGTCCCCCTCATACACCTGAACATAATGGGACTGTAGAACGACGACACAGTCATATAGTAGAAGTTGGTTTGCCGTTACTTCACTTTGCATCGATGTCAATAAGTTATTGGTCGTATGCATTCCAAACAGCAGTCTACTTGATAAATCGTTTGCCTACTCCTATCTTACATAATAAAACACCCTTCCAAGTTCCGTTCAACACCACACCAAATTATGAAAAACTAAAACCATTTGGGTGTTTGTGTTATCCGTGGTTACGTCCCTACACAAAAACAAACGTTCACCCTCGCTCAAAATCTTGTGTGTTTTTGGGGTATTCTACTTCTCAATCAGCATACAAGTGTCTTGATCCTAGTACTGCTCGGGTTTATCTCTCTCGTCATGTTCAGTTTATAGATGATGTGTTTCCTTTTCATGCATTAACATCGTCATGTCACAGTTCTTCCCCTGCAGGTCCTTATGAGAGCTCCAATGGTGTATTAAATCCACATGTGCTTGCAAATACCACTCCATTTAATACCCCGATTCCTGTAGCGCATATGCCACTATTACAGCCCAACACACCTACACCCTCTCAAACTAGTAGTCCCATTCATCTTCCCAGCCATAGTCCCCAACATTCACCTGTGCTACCTACCATGCTAGATGCTATCTCTGGTGAGTCTGAGTCATCTACAGATTTACAAATACCTCAGGCTAACAACCCACCTCCACGTCGCTCAACCCGTACCCGTCGTCCCAATCCCAAATACGTCAATGACAAATTTGTGAATGTTACCACTGCTCATCCAATATCAACCACTCTTGAGTCGTCGTCTGTTGCTCAAACAAAATCAGACCCACTCTGGCATCAAGCCATAGATGATGAATATCATTCACTTATAAAAAATGACACATGGGAGCTGGTTCCAAGACCTGATAAAAAACGATTGGTTGTAAATGGGTGTTCCGAGTTAAACATAAACCTGATGGCTCGGTTGACCGTTATAAGGCGCGCCTGGTGGCAAAGGGTTATTTGCAGGAACATGGACGAGATTATTTCGATACGTTTAGTCCTGTGAAAAAACCAGCAACCATTCACATTATCCTTTCATTAGCCTTGTGCCATAATTGGCCTTTGAGACAATTGGATGTGAATAATGCATTTTTGCATGGGACTATGCATGAACAAGTCTACATGGTCCAGCCTCCTGGGTATTCCGATCCGCAGTGACCCACGCATATATGTCGTTTGAAGAAGGCTTTATACGGACTCAAACAAGCACCCCGGGCATGGTACCTGGAGTTGTCTGGTTTTTTGATAGAATTTGGTTTTAGAAAGTCTCAAGCAGATTACTCTTTATTTATCTATCATACTAACGGTGTGTTGGCTTATTTTATAGTTTATGTGGATGACGTGGTTTTAACAGGAAACAACACAAGATTTTTGGATTATTTTGTTGCACGATTGGGGCACAGGTTCTCTATTAAAGATTTGGGAATGCTCCATCATTTTCTTGGTGTTGAAGCAGTCTCTACTTCATCTGGTATATTTTTATCCCAAGCGCAGTATATTGCAGACATTCTATGACAAACAAAAATGGGTGATGCAAAACCAGTTCACACGCCCGCAGGTCCAAAACCAGACCTCCATGAAGATGCTAATTCATCACCAAGTGATTCTATGGTCTATCGGCGTATGGTCGATTTGTTACAGTATTTAGCAATAACACGGTCGGACTTGAGTTTTACAGTAAATCGCTTGGCACAGTTTATGCATTCTCCAACGGAGAGTTAATGGCAGGCCGTGAAGCGTGTCTTAAAGTATCTCAAGGGCACTATGTTTCACGAGCTATTTTTGCGGAGAGGGACTCCCTTGGTTTTAACAGCTTACTCTGATTCTGACTGGGGCGGTGTTCATGACGGCGGGAAGTCTACTACTGGCTATGTCATTTACTTGGGCTGCAATATTATCTCATGGAGGTCGGTGCATCAAAAATCCGTTGCTCGGTCCTCCATCGAAGCTGAATACAGGGCATTGGCGAATACCGCAGCTTAGGTAATTTGGATTCAAAATTTGTTGGTGGATTTGGGAGTGAAGCTGGTGCGACCTCCTGTGTTGTTTTGTGATAACATGGGTGTGACATATGTCTATAAAAACCCGGTCTATCATTCTCGTATGAAACATTCGGCATTGGATTATTTTTTTGTTTGTGATTATGTTGCCGGCGGAACTTGTTCAACATATTCGAACGAAGGATCAAATTGCCGATGTGTTAACAAAGCCTCTGGGCAGAACTTTATTTCAATCCTTTCGGTCCAAGCTTGGAGTCTCCGATGGGTCCTCCATCTTGCGGGGGCGTGATAAAGCTTAATGTATCTTGCGGGGGCGTGATAAAGCTTAATGTTAGTGTTGGTTGGTTACTATTATTTAGTTTCTTATTTGAACTATTCTATGTGGTTGTTACTGTAACTACAGGGTTACCTTTCATCTCTGTATAATTCTTTGTATAAAAGCCTATGCATGACATCAATAAGATATTGAGTTTCCTTCCCTAAATACTTTACACCCTGCACCCGCACCCGCACTTATATATATTATTATTAGTATTCATTTATTATATAAGTTTTTGTATATTTTATAATTAAAAATGCATAATGAATTAAACTTCTTAGTTTTTTGTTTATGAAATTTGAATAGGAACAACACAAATAACATAATGAGTAAATAAATAATACAATTTATACTACCAACACAATTTTAGTTACAATTAAGGACTAACTTCATTGGCTCTTATTAAATTTTAGAGTTACGTTCAAACTTATAAAAAAGTCCATGTGATAACTAGAATTGTAGTACAAAACTTTTATTAGATTTAAGTGTAATATTAATAATTAGAGTTGCGGGTCGAGTATTACCCGCACCCGCAAAATCCCCGCGGGGCTGGTATGGGGTAGGAACTTCAGGAAAAATGACTGAAATGTGAATTTAAGGACATGTAATTCTCAAATTGTGACAATGCTGGCTGGTGGACTAATTTATGAAAAGGACGCTTGGGACATGCGTTTGAGGCATGTCCCAAACGTCCTTGATTATTTTTTTTTTAATTGCTTCCTTAGATGCAAGTACGACTTGTGTCTGAGGT